ATTCACCCGGATCCTGAAGTCTGAAGATCACGCAAGTACTCTGGATGTGTTTGAAGACGGGGAACCGGTGGATCCGGGCAAGCAATCGGTGCTGGGTCGCAGATCATATATCGATGACATCCTGATTCCCGCCAATAACTGGGATCAACTATGCGATCGAGTCGAAGGTTTACTCGAAGCGTGTGATAAGTGGAATCTGTCGATCAGTGTGGTCAAGAGTTTCTGGGGAATGCCTAAGGTGGAATATATAGGTCACAAGGTCTCTTACAATGGACTGGAGGCGAATCCGACGGATCTGTCGGCACTAACTGATCTAGCTTTTCCAGGGTCGCTCAGAGCTATGCAGTCATTTTTGGGAAGTTTGAACTATTACAGCCGGTTCATTGAAGACTATTCGATTATGCGTCAGTTCTGCATGAATTGCGAGAAATCGACTTTGCTGCGATGATGAAAGAGGCTACCCAAGCGCAGATCCAGCAAGTGTTGGAGGTGGAGAACGTGGATCACGGATCGCAGGAAGGTGGGGTGGTCAACCACCGAAAGACTTTGGATCTGGAGGCGACAGATCTTACTGAGGTGGATCCGCGTTGGATCCATGCCCATCGGTCCTTCAGGGTGCTTAAGACTAAGATCGCTGCTACTCCGATCTTACGGCACTTTGATCCAGATCGGAGAGCAGATCGGAGAGCCACGGTCGTGGTGTATGCTAGTGATTGGGCCATCTCAGGATCACTGATGCAGGAATACGACCAGATCTACTATCCCGTGATGTTTGCGAGCCGTACGCTGAAATCGAATGAGCTGAATTACGGAATCGCAGAGAAGGAGGTACTAGTCCTTCTAAGAATCCTGGATCTTAACTACAATGCATTGGTCGGACGTCCGATCTATGTGTTGACCCGACACTCTACTTTGGCGTGGCTCTTCAGATCCACAGCCCTACAAGGACGTCTGGGACAGTGGGGCGCTCTGTTGTCGCCTTGGACTCTCGAGATCACCAAGTGTGTCAATGGAGAGGACGAGATCTTAGGAGCATTGGCAGCCAGTATTCCCCCTAGATCCGAAGTGGATAAGGCATTGATCTCGATTGCCCCTAAAAAGGAGCCAAGACGCAAGATCCAAGCTCCGATCCCCACTATTGGACGCGACGAGGATCTATACGTCGTTGATTTCGATGGATCTGCCCGTATCAAGAGAGGTGGAGGCGCCTACAACGCGATCTTGTGGAAGCTGCCTGAATGGAGGGTGTTGAAGGCTAGATCTGGGTACGCCGAAGGCTTGACGGTGAACGAGGCGGAATATCATGGATTGTTGCTATGTTTGGATCTGTTGGAAGATCTGGAGCCACGACGCCGGGTGATCTGCGGAGACTCAAACCTGGTGATTTGCCAAGTACGAGGTGAGATCGACTGCAAGACCCCGGGTTTGACACTGTTGCGCCAGCGGGCTTTGGATCGACTCCGCGTTTGGCCGGGTCACGAGCTATTGCATGTTAAGCGAGATTGGAATGTTAGCGCTGACAGCTTGGCCAGCGCCGCACTACAACGACAATGTGGGATCGAGGTCGAGATCGAAGAGGAGATCCAGGATCTAGTGACCTTGAACCGGCTGGATGAGATCCTGATGGTAAGGATCGAAGACGAGATCGCACAGATATATGCCGTAACGACCTGATCTAAGGCTAGATCTGGAGTGCGTATCGAATCAGATCCAGACTCATTACGCGTGGAAGTTGTGAGAGGACAGATGATCGAGCGGATCCGACAAGCACAGGATGAGGAGTTGTGAATCTCGGGTCCGAAGAAGTATTTGGTTGGAGAAATCCGGGATCTGACACAAGAGGATGCTAAAGTGTTTGAATCTATTGCTATGAATTACGAAGTGGATCAGTCGGATCTACTCTTCTACTGCCCGACAACTAAGGAGGAAGCTGCAGATCGAGACAAGCTGATGCGATTGGTGATACCCGAGACACTCCAACAGGCCATTTTGTATCACTATCATACGAGCTTGCAGGGTGGCCATCAAGGAATTGACCGGACCTATGATCGGACCTGCGATCACTTCCACTGGGGAGGGTTGTACAAGAGTGTACAACGATATGTGGGAGAATGTGTTGACTGTGAAATAGGCAAAGGAGGACCTCGGTTCCAGGGCGAGTCACCTGGTAACCTTCAGGCGACATACCCATTCCAGATCATTGCCATGGATCACATACCTTCGCTGCCTAGATCCTTCAATGGCAACACCGAATTGTTGATCTTCGTGGATCTATTCTCGGGATATGTGACCGCCAAAGCCAGCGCACTAGATCCGCTCAAACAATCGCTGAGACCTACGAAGAATGCGTCTTCCGCAGATTTGGCGCTAGCGAGGTGATCCGGCATGATCGGGAGCCAGGTTTTATGTCTGACTTCTTTAAGACCGTCAACAAGATCTTGGGTCAACGTCAACGCGCTAATATGGCTTATCGACCCCAGGCTAATGGATCTGCAGAGTGTATGGTCCAAACGACCACTAGGGCTCTCAAGATGTATGTGCAGGATCTAGATCAACGGGATTGGGATGAATACGCCGAACGACTCACCTTTGCGATCAATACGGCAAGAGATCGGATCCGAGGCGAAACCCCTTTCTACATGATACATGGCTGGGATCCTATATTCACTTTGGAAGCAGTGATCCTGGTGGGGAGCACTCGCAGGCACGATTGAGATCCAAGAAGATGGCGATACCGGATGCAAAAGTACTACCAACAAGCTCGAGAACAAGTGAACCAACGTTTACGTGAAGCGATCGCGGATCGGGCCAACACACATAATGATCTAGTACGTCCTCATCCTGTAGAGTCTGGATCAAGAGTCTGGTTATACCTGGATCGAGCTTGTGAAGGATATGCAAAGAAGCTGGCGCGCTTATGGCATGGGCTATTTCGCGTCGCTGAAAAGATCGGGGAATATGCAGTGAGGTTGGAGATCTCAGGATCAACATACAGCATCTTCCCGGTAGTGCATGTCTCGAAGATCAAACTGGTTAAGATATTCCCAGATCGTCCCGTAGCTCGCCTAGACGAGTCAGAAGGGGATCCGGTGGACTTCGATGAAGCTCTCCTACCGGAAGACAGCTGGACCCAGGATCGGGATCCACATGAGTACAAAGTGGAGCAAATTTCCGATATGAGGACTGGCAAGAGGGATCGATATGGACGGATCTACCGAGAAGTTTTAGTGCACTGGCGTGGATATGAAGATCCAACCTGGGTAGATGAGGCAGACCCAACTGCGGTGCTCTTCTTTATGAATTCCTGCGAGGTCGTACCAAACGTAACCGATTTGGTGTGATGCAATCTCACGAGGAACCGTGAGATCTGGATCCACATTGGTGAGCTGGTCATCGGTGTGGCTGAAGGTTGACAGATCTGCTAGGGGGTTGTAAATCGGAGGACGGGGTTTGCGTGACTTTGTATATGATGACATGTTGACAGAGGAACTATGTGGAAAGAGATTGATTCAGAGATGAACATGGATTGAGCAGGGATGAATTTTGATTATGGATTTAGGACTGTATTACCTGAAAGATTATGGATCAAATAGCGAACAACAAGTGTGAAGGCACGGGAGGGAGGATATGTGCAAATTAACGCAGTTAGACTCTTGGTGGGGCCAAAAAAGACGGATGAACCCAGATCAGAGAAGGAAATGACATGTACTACGGTTAGCGAAGTTGATCTGGAAGAAATGCACGGAGAAGTGTCAGGATCACGGCTGGTGAGGAAGTGGCGGCGCGTTGGGGTTCTGGGCTGCCATATTGAAGAATTTGCCTGCAAGACACGTGATCCGGCGAGCTGGATGACCTGCATGGTGTAGTCGGTAGTGAGTACGCCACGGATCTGTAGCGTCACA